CTGTATAATCATTCTTCTCATCTCATCTTCCTTTTCATACGATAAAACCCCTGAAATACGATACAAACAAAGGTGCCCTTGTAAAGGCACTGACCCTTAATACCTTGTTGAGCCTAGCACGCGTTAACTTTGTTACTTCAGTCAAAACACGTTTAAAAGACGAGGAACTGAAAGAATAAGGTCTGTCAAACAGTTAAAGAAAATATTTTTTTAAGAGACTTTTTTTAAGAGACCCACGACACAACGTTCGAGTGTGTTTTTACCGAATGCAGGCGAGGGGTGGGGGAGGGGGACCAACAGGATTTAGCACACAATGCGAGTTCCAGGGGAAGGTTAGAGGAGGGGTGCGGAAGGGGGGGGGGGGATTCCGGATGAACGAATGGATTCCATACAAACAGGACAAAACAGAAGTGTGCCCTCGTAGCTGAGCGGGGTGCCGCGCCGCGCGAGTGGTGTTGTGCCAACAACTGCTTCGCAATTTACATGTAAATGTCCGCGCTGGCCGCCCCGCCCCGCCACACCCGTGTCCAAAGCAGTGAATAAATGTATTCGCGGTATCGAGCAGTCGAGCAGCTACGCTTTTCAATGGGTGGTACGCCGCAAAAAATATTAAAAAAAAAACTGATACACATCGTGAAAAGAAAGTCTCCTCCGTGCTTTGCCTACGCATCTCCCCCATTCCCCCCCGCTCTCTTTCACCCACCACCTCGCCTCCTGCCACTGCACTGGAAAAACTTAGGGGCTAAGTCACCTTTACAAGATTTGGTTCCTTTATGAAAGGAATATTAAAACTGCCAACAGTGATAATTTAAGTGTTCAACAGGCGTGCACAAGCAAGTGTTCAACACTATGTTCTACACTTTCAAGTGATAAGCTAAATATTTGAATATTTTTAGGTGTTCTACAGTAAATTTGAACACTTTCAAGTGTCCTTTAAAGGGGCATGGTGGGGTGAACCCCGGTGTTGAACACTTCTAAAAGTTTAACTTTACTGTTAAACACTTTATAGTATTCAAATATCCAGTTACACACTTGAACGGGTACAACATAGTGTTAAGCACTTGAATGAGCACGCCAGTTGAACACTTTATTTATCAGTAAAAGAGCACTAAATTTTGGCACCTTTATTGCCTTCATACAGAGGCATTAAACTTAAAACCTTTACGGCATCCGTGCTAAGATGCGAGTGCGACTTAGATTTCCCAGAGTGATACTGTTTTCTCTGAAGTAGAGGACTAAGGTCAGGTCAGTCCCGGGAAAGTAGGCCAAACCGCAAAACTGCGGCGCGTGCGACTACCCACTCGGTACGTTACGGGGATGTCAGTCATGGTTGACTTGTATGTTCAGGTTTAAATAACCCCCTACCCCTCTTCCCCCTCCCCCACTCCTCTCTCTCACACAACCCCCTCTTTCCTCTCTCGCGGCACATGGTGCGCGTGGGGGCACCGTCAGGCACGGGAACATGGCGGAAAGCAGTCATCTTTCTCTCTTTCTCTCTCTGTCTCTCTCTCTGTCTCTCTCCCACCCTCCCTCCCTCTCACAGCCGATATGTAAATACGGCCTGCCAGGTCTAGTGCGGGTCCAGCAGCGAGAGCAGGGCGGCCGGCGCCGCCTGGGTGGACAGGACACGACCCCCTTCCTCTCCCTCCTTCCCCACCTGGGAGGGGCGCAAGCAACCTGGATGGGGTGCAGGGGCGGCGGTGGGGGGAGAAGGTGGGTGGGGGGGGGTAGCACGACAGAGCAAGAGTAGGAGATTAGATTAAATTCAGCTGTGCGGAAGAGCGGGTGGCGCGGCGGTGGCGGCCGAGTATGGAGCCCCCTCCTCCCTCCTCTCGTCGCCCACCCGCGGACCGCCCCCGGACTACCGCCCCCGGACCACCCGCTTGCCGGCGCGTCCGCACCCCCATCGTCCTCACCCTGCTTGTCGATCCCGTGGTCGCGCCCCGCGTTTCCTCTGCTTTGGGGGAGCGCCGAATACCGCAATAAATGCTATGGCTTTCTGCGGGTTTCCCCGGATCTCCCTGCTCAGTTCCTCGGTGTTTGAATCGCCGGAATGATGTGTCTCTTTAGAAATGAGAGGGCGGAATTCGTCATCATGCCCAATAAAAGCGATGTTCGTCATGGTCACTCCATTTAATTCCGTGAGTTCAACGTGGGCAAGGTACACACGTTATATACAGTGTAAATGCACACGTTTCCTCTATTTCCTTTGAGACGGATGACTTTGGGAAGTGGACGACATTTTCAGTTTCCTCATTAAAAGCGCCTTCAAATGAGCTTCCATGTGTTCCAACGTTACCAAAATATCCGAAAGAATGAAGAAATTCATTACATGCTAATGAAGTTTCACAATACGCAATGAAAAAGTTATAAAATATCATTACGAAAATCTAATGAAAATAGCTACACAACATGTAATGAAAATGTAATGAAATATTTTTAACAGTGGCTAAACTACTTGAGTTAGGATAGAACTAGACGTGTCTACCGATTCAGCAGATTTGTTCGCTTCAGAAATCACGTGTAGCAGAATTGCAACTGTACAGGTAATTTTAAAAAGTTGACGCGTTTATAGCAAATTCGAGTTCCGTATTGAGTCCGTGCGTAACGACACTGCGCACGGCCAGCCTCTCTGAAATTGCCCTTTGAAACATTGTTCCTGTAATTTACTTACCAGTAGTTGAACAACAACGAGGCAGACCACGCAATACGTGAAATTCCGACCAGCAGTAAAGACTTTACATTCTGTTTCATCCCGGCGAACAGGTCGTGAGTGGCCAGGCGGGGCAGAGAGTTGGGCCTAGACCCCCCCCCCCCCTCCAGACACTAAAGTAGCTTTGCTTTCGTCGAGCTTCCTTGCAGATCCTGTATAACAGCGGTTGCTACCGACGACCCGCCAGCCCCATACCCCTGCCCGAGCCCCTGCCATTTCTCCATTTCTAAGACTTCTTATGTTACCCCCCCCCCGCAAAAAATACCAAGCATGAAATAAAAAGGCCGACTTTTGCTGCTACGTGTTACAGAACGCCCGCATAAACAAAACGACACATTTTTCCTCCTTTTTAAGAGCTTCCGGTTCACCTCCGGCACAAACGAATACAAACAACAAAATGCCTCCCCCAGCCCTCGCCGCCTCTTGTTTGTCTAACGAATATGACAATTACACCTCTTCTTTACGGCAGGGAAAGAAAAAGGAAAACAGAAGGACGTCAGAGAGGCGCGCGTTCCGGGATGTAAAGTAGGGCAGGTCCACAAAGGTAAGCCCCCCCCCCCCCTCCACCGTTACCGGCAGGTGGCGGCAACTTCACGATCCGATACAAAGAGGAAAACAACATCAGATATTTCCCGAATCTGCTATATAAAAAGCTTCGAAGCAATCGTTCCATTGTTCGTTACCAATTGCGTTCTACGCAGAGAAAGGACAAGACAGGTTATTTCGTATACCTATGCGGCTTTGATTGGTGAAGACGGCTATTCATAGAGGCATGAAAATGTTAACATTGAACATGACAGAGCATCGAATTTCATTATAGCTTCATTATAGCAATTATTGGGTGCCAATAACAAAGACTATTCGATACCCCCTAAGCTAAACTGCTCAGCGACTCAGGGGTGAGCGAACGACCGCTCAGCTCATGGGTGGCTGGGAGCAACCGCCCACGACTGTTTTCAAAGCCCGTTTCTTTATTACCGTTACAAAAGGCAGAGACCCTTAAAAATGCACTAAAATTTACAGTTTTTTAAGGGCATATCAGTGCTATTTTAATGGTGCCCCCGGGTGCCCTAGTAAAGGCAGATTTTGCCCCAGCGGGTGTGTCGGTGGCTCGGAACTGACCAAGTAACCACGAGCAGACGAGCAGCAGCAGGAGGAGGAGGAGGAGGAGGAGGAGGAGGAGAAGGAACGGCAGTGGTGGTGGGCACGTCCGAGCCATAGGCAAGGCCGTCGCCAGCTATACTGCTGGCCGTACGATCCGCGGCCATAAAGGCGTGCTACATGACGCCCCCGCGGGCCTGCTCCGGCGGGACGCACCGCAACTGCTGCTCCTGCTGCTGCTGCTGCTGCTGCTGTTGCTGCAGTTATATGCAGTTATATGCAGTTATATGGCGGACACGCGCACACTTTGTCTCGGCGATGTACGGCCAAAGAGAAACCGATAAAAAGCAGAGCATCGTCGGCACAAAGACAAAAATAGATTTAAAAGTACAAACTACTAACAAGAAAGGTGACACGTTAGTAGTGTCACTTTCCTTTTTGATTTCGTCCCCATTGTGCAGGTCCGCCCCGGTCCGTTTTAACAACCTCGGTCAGGAAGACGCCCGATTGCGCCCTCCGACTCGACCCGACCCCGGCCTTTTAAGGGGTCAGACCCCCGTGGGCGGGCAGGGCAGGGGGGCTCCGGCCGGGCAGGACGCACAACACAACAGCGCCCCACGCCGCTGAACACAATACGGCCCGCTGGGCAACAAGTGGGCGTTGGGGACCTAATTCACCTTCACGACCAACGCTCACCACGCTCTCTCCCCTCAACACGGCAAAAAAAAAAAACACATGTGATGCACAAAAATCAACTCAGCATGTGTGTACGCATTCGTCTCCAAAATTGCAAAAAATACAAATTAAAAAAGCCAGAAAATAAGCTGTCTAAATTTAATTGAACAGGAACGCAAAATACATACACATTTTTTCGCAAAAACGGTTTTGCGGATTTTCTAGCAAAAGCTTACTTGTAGGTTGGTTTCCGCGCGGGCGCTCTACTCAGACCGACAAAAGCCTGGCTACATCAGATCAGACAACATCGCTCTGCTCTCTACCCGCTAGCAGACCATCCACCACAAATCCAAAGATCTTTTGTTTAAAGAAACAAACGACAGTAGCCACTCCGACAAACAATCATCCAATCAATCAGCCAATCAAATCCATTCCGTTATAAACAGACAATCAATCCTCTAGACAACAAAAGCGTTTTGTTAAGCGACAAGTCTGCCTGGCGGGTCCTTACGCGTGCTCCTTGCAGTAGGTAGCAGGGCGTGGCCACAGGCTCCTGGTCCTCCTGCTGAGTCTGTAACAACAAACGCAATCCCCCCGTAACAACAACCACCAAAACCGATGTCACGAATCGGGGCCCACCAAAAACCTTGGATTCACAAAGGAAAAAAGGCACACAAAATAGGGAGGTATTTTTTTCTCTCTTGAGGGTAGAGTCTCTATTCTTATCGCTCCGAACAATCGGCAGGGACACAAGACAGAAGCAGAAGAGGGCCCAGGCGAACTGTCCCCTCCCAAACTTTCACGACGGCGTCCAGGATGGCGATAGCACCGTTCCGTTCCGGGGGTGCGGTGAGGCCGGGCCCCGGGGCGGAGCCGCCCTACCCAGGTGTGGCGACGCTAGGCGAGGCGAGCAGGGCCTTCCCCCAGCCAGTTCTCACAAACAACTTGGAGCAAGGGGTCCTCGCCAAACGACCACCAAGCAAACACCCAGTGAGTGCAAAAAAAAGTCGACTGTTAGAGCAATGTCCATGTTCTTATTCGTGAACGCTGAACTTAGTAAAGGTTGTGTGTGTAGTAAACAGTGTTGGCAAAAAGGAGAGAAGAGAGTTTCTTGGAACAAATATTTCCGCACAATTAACACATCTATACAAACACATGGGAGGGCGTATTTATTATTTTTGGGGAGGGGAATAAGGGAGCGCATCAAAGGGCGAGGGACCAGCTCCAGCAAATGTCTCGGAATGGCAGTCAGTGGCGGACAAAACGCTGTACTGCATTCCTTTTGCAGTTCGGCTGCTGTCTGTTTAATGGTCTGGAATGCCACGCACAACTCTCTCTCTCTTTGTCTCTTTTGTCTATCTCATTGCCAGCAAAAGAGACAATGCTTAATACATATAGTGGAGAGAAGAAGAATAAAACAAGCAGAGGACTTGCCCTTTCGAGGAATAACCCACTCCTCCACCACAGGGGGCCGAATCCGGCCGAATCCACCCACGCGCCTGCCACCTGCCTGGCTAGCCCTTTAGAGACCTGATCCCGATCTGGTATAGCTGCTGCGTGCGTGTGCGTGTGGGAGGGGGTAGGGGGGTG